AAAGCTTATGATTAGTTGATTACAACGACTGGAAAAAAAATTGGGGTGCCCATGCTCGTTGGTGAGCTAGAGCCATTTTTCCACTGACAGAGCTCAATATCAAGGCAAATCCGTCATGTTTTCAATATGCGCATGCACAAGCGCACGCTAATGACGCCATAAATTATGTGCAGTAAGGATGCGCAATGCAAATGTGAGGAATGACCTTAAAGTTTATTCCAGCCCAATACCCTCAGGGGGCTATGGTTATTGAATTTAGTTGCATTTGGTTGTATTTCATAGCTGGTAATAAAATCGACACAAACCAATGCCTACTGAAGTAACTGTGTGAACTTGCTAAACTGGTGACAAAATAACTCCTGTAGCTATGAGTGACTGCACTCAGCAGTCACAGGGCTAAGGATTGAAGCCCAGGCCTAACATGATAATCAATATCCACAATCTTTATCTTCCACAGTGGTCATTTAGGTCATTTAGATCATTCCAAATTCAAAAGCAGTGTAATAAGGCGTGTATAGCACTTCAATTATCTACTTGATCACATTAATGTTGCAGAGAACAGCTCTGCATTTACATCACAAACATGTATTAACCTGTATAGAGTTTACAGTGGATCACTTTGGTTAATTCTTATTCAATAATTTCCTGTGTTTCACTGGGTGATGCTTTTACACGCACTGTACACGCACGAAAACAGGCCTTTGATAAGAGACAGACCTTACATGTAGATATAAATATGAAGAAATCAAAACAGGTACAAGACATACATGTCCATGAATTTAGTAGGCTCTACAAGATACAGCACAGCAGATAGTTAGTCTGGATGTATGATCAGTCTTGTGACAACCAGCTGAGAAGCATTAAGCCACAGTACTTTACTTAACATATTTGCTAAAGAAAAATCGCTTACAAACTATAGCCACAATGTTAGTAATCTTACTATACGAAAGTAAAGATTTCTGTTTAAAAAGTTGAAATTAATAAATTAACTTGGTGTCTGTAAACTGTAGAGAGAGCTTCAATCAACCTTAACCACGAAATAAGCTAGCATTTGGCTTTACAAATAAAACTAAATTGATATAGTTTAAGCTCAAGTCCACAAGTATAGTAAGGTTACATGAAAGCTTATAAACCATCTGCTAGCGTGAAACGGCCAGCTAAGTGTTGTTCTGGTGAGTTGTTTTGAATCATACTCACTGTATTGCAGGTTCTATGTAGGATTTCTTTAGATTTTCAAAGTCCAGTAGCAAGTTTGCAGTTCCCTCAACCACGAATACAACATCGTTTTCGTATAAGTCACCGGCAGCCACCATTATCGAGTTCCTCTCTTCAGATTAACAGGAAGTCGATTATCCCTCCTCCATATATACCATATTTTTTGGGGGGGAATACCCAATTATGACTTAAAGTGATATTTTAAACCAGATATTAACAAAGAAACGTCGCGACGCGAAAGCGGAAAGAATGCCAAACACGAAAACAAAATTCTACATCCGCGCGCTCTGCTTCTTCCTGCACTACGCACCAGACTCATTCGACTTAAACGATTGAGTCAAAATTGCGCTAGGAAGGACTGGGGCATATATCGGCGCGATGCCAGTTGGCCAGGACTGTAAGTCGGTGCGCGCGGACTGTTAGCTCCGGCTCCGAGAAATAAACATCTTTTCTGTAATTTTGTTTTATGATGCCCACAATGTTGTCTTTTTCGCTCGTTTAGATATATATTAAAAGAAAGAATTTAACACACCCTACTTGAACTTCCAGTCCAGGCGAACACATTTTTTTTTTTTTTAGTCCGGGCGAACCAGAGGCGAACAGACATCAGGCGAACTAGCTTTCGGGCGAAACGACCGGTTACCATATCACCAGTGGGGTGTATTTTCAGCTTCAGATCATTCTAAAAAAAAAAATATATATATATATATATATATATATATATAAAGTGTAAAGTGTAAAATTTGATTTTCGTAGAACAGTGCTCAATACATCAGAGTAGAGCGAAGTATACAATGT